GCCAAAATGGGCATTTGTTAGATATATGTATGGCATAATTTCAAAAGACCCGAAAGCACCTTACTATGAAAATATACAATTTAGCTATATATCACCAAAAAAAATCCCTAGTGTAAAAGCATTTTTATCTGAACGAAGTATAGCAATTGTTTTTGAGGATTTGTGTCTCGCTTTAGAATATATACAGAATCGAATTGGCCAATTTTTTGAAAATGGGCAACATCAAAATATTTCATGTATATTTGTGGTACAGAAATATTATAAAATTACTACATTCATGCGTGAAAATGCTAATTACTTAATACTTTTTAATTCTGGTAGTTCATATGATGATATTTCTAAAATTATTCGTAGATATACAGATGATGTAAAAAATGTATCAATGGTTATTAACAGCTACTTACGCAAAGGCGAATTTATTGTATTTGATCTAGATAGGCCTGAGGATGATCCACTTGCAATTTGGCTAAGGTTTGATACTCTACTAGATTTGCAAAAAGAGATAGAGTTACGGCAAAAATGCAAGATAGATTCAAAAAACCATTGCTCTGCAATAAAAAATGCATTACCTGCTGAGCCCATAAATTTTGAACCTGAAAAATCAAAATGAAAAGTCTATAGTGTTATAGTATATACTTCATAGATTTTTATTTCACTTCGTGCACTACCCAATTGTGATCTCAAGAATAGCATTAAGAAAACAGTGAACAACAACTTTATGCAAAAAAAGTTATATTAATAAATCGAATAAACAGATACATGTTATAATAAATTAAGCTATACATTGTTAATTTGACACGTTTCCTCTCTAATTTCCCATAAGAGTTTATAATGCTCAACTAACTATGTAGCACAAAGGCCAGAGGGTCAGTAATAATATTCAATAAATTTCCTTTGTATAACCCTTACAGCTCGAATTTTTTTCCTAATCTCTCTTGCACGTTTAACTCTTCTGATAGCATTCTGCATCCACAATTCATAACGATGAATTGCTTCTTTTTCGAAGTAGAAGTTGCTAACTTCGGATCTGCTTTTAAGTTCCATATAGTCTTTATAACTAATATCACAATAAGCATTTCCTGTGCAATTTGTGCCCCAATGCTTATCCATAAAATGACGAAATCTATACTCATACTCACATTCTATTTTAGAGTAAACTAGTTTGTTGCACAAATGACATATTGCTATACTTATGCCTACAGTATGGCTGAGATCACCTTCCCATAAATATTTTATTTTTTTGGCGATAAGATATCACTTTTTATCATCAGTTAAATGATTATTATTCTTATAATTAGTCAACTGATCCCAGATTTGGGTCTTCCAATCAGATGGTGTTTTACCTTTGTGAATTACTGGAAATCGACAGTTATCTCTCCATTCAATATCTCTCAAAACTGGACATTTATCTGTATAGACCATATTTAATGATTAAGTAATTTAACATATTATATATAGTTTTTTAGAGATTATGTGATTTATATCAAATTTAGAGATTTAGACCTATTAGATTTTATTAACTTAATACTTCCTTAATTCCGAATTCAATTTTTGCAAAGGTATTGTAATGAATGAATATCAATTAAATATATTAAGTCAAAGGTCCTATCACTTAATAAAGATGAAATTTTTTGCATGACTAAGCATACTTGTACAAATAGCTCCGGCAATTATCTTATCAACACAAAACAATCTAGTGTAAGAAGACCTCAATTATCTTTTTTTTATATAATTGTATGTTTGTTTTTAAGGACAGATTACCTGGTAAGCTATAAATATTTGTATATCCAAGCTATAAGACACTGTCGAATAATTACTAACAAACAATTATTGCACATGACAAATCAATCAACAATCGCATGTTTTCTATATTGGGATTAGATCGTTAATAACTTGTTGAGCAGGCATACTTATACAGAGTACGTAATTTACATGCTATATTAAGCTGGCCCCAGATCTACAAATTTAGATAAGTAGTATAAAATTATACTGGGTTTACAATAAATATGCAGGAAATTAATTGTGGTTTGTAGGACTGGTTTGCAATGACTTTATTAGATAAAACAAGTTTGAGAGATCTATTTCGGGTATTACAAGCATATAATTTAATTTTCTAGCAATAGGAATGTACGACACCCACCATTTAAGATCATCCTGGTCGAGATAAACAAATCCGAGATATACAAATCCGAGGTATACGAAGTCGGTTAATTATACAAAATTTCAGACGTAATACCAATTCGAGTTTAGTTATAATGATTTTTTTGAGCGACACGAAATAGAAAATGGTATGAACTCTGTTTGAAGTTTGGTTATTTATTCTCATAATGAATATATAATAAAATATAAATATGGGTTGAACTAGGGTTGAACACAGGTTGAACTCGAGTTGAACTCAGGTTGAAAATGGTAGAATGGATAGATGCACAAACACGTACTTCAACAGCACTTCAACAGTGGCTTAAACAATTTTATATATATTTATTAACAAAAAGCCAACAGCACTTCAGATGCAGAGCATCCTCTTTCCAAGAGACAGTGGCTTAATAGCAGTTATCAGTAAATATTCGTGTGCGCTATTTTAATACAACAGGTAGCAGTAATTTAATTTCACAGCTCTTAGATCATTTCGAATTTATTATATTATACTGTCATAGGACTTAACAGTCCCACGGGTCTGCTTATCTGCTTAAGCAGGCGGTCACTTGGTATTCAGGTTTATCAGTTCGAATGTGCGATAAAACCTTGACGGCTTTAATAATTAATGGCCTGCATTATTGTTTTGCAATGACACTTCGGGTCTAAATTTTATGCAGTGTCACTCTCCTGCAGAATCATTTCTCATAGTCGATTTTTGTTAACAGCTACTAAATGAATAACGACTAAAAGCTTTATTATACACGATCTTATGATAAGAAAAGAGATGAATGGGGCTTAAAAGTGCTATAAAAGGAAAGAGTACAATGTTCCTTATTAGTAGTTTTACCCAAATTCATATGTTATGCGGGGCTTGGAATCCCCAGATCTTGAAGATCGTTAATTTTTTCATTTCACAGAAGTGATCGTCAAATCTAAGGGGATTTAATTTATCTATAAAACAACAAAATAGATTCAGTATTTGGAGCTTATAACTGAACGGAGTTGCTTTGTTAAGTGTGGTCCAGCATTGTATTAGGGTAACGTAATTTCTAATCACGTATTTTTTCAGATCTAGATCTGAAAGATTATGAATCGTAGACTTGCCCCTTATTTCGGAAGCAATAGTACTGTACATAGTACCTGGGTTTGCTATGTAATACGAAATAAGGCAGTATAAAATTGGCTGGTTTTTATCTTGTAAAGTGGGTTACCAATAACTTTTTTTTCTGCTCATATATATTTTTACTTGATTCACTTGCCTATTTTTAAAAGTAATGTACCATTTAATAGAGACTAAGAAAACCGAATTTTTACTTACTATGATTTTTTTGTATTTAGATACAAAAAATGAGCACTAATGATAGTACCACTTCCAAGACCAACAATACCTCCAAGACCAATAATAATACTACTTCCAAGACCAATGATAGTAATGCCCCCAAGACTAATGACTCCAATCCAGAAAGCGATCAAAAAAGCTATCTGGTGTGGGCATAATTCTTGATTATCAAATTCTATATAATTATCCAGGTATCAATCTTATAACATTTTCAAAAGTAATAAAACCTCGTGGTTACTATGGCTTTTGATTTTTTGTATTATTTTATTTGTATGTTCCCATTCTGGCAAAAAAAAAATTTATTAAATAAAGAAGGGGGGTCTTGTGGTCTTTCCATGTTTTATTTTTACGTGATTTTGACCCTTTAGGGTCGCTCCTTCGGGCCTGCAATACAATTTGCGATTATTAATTAGTGGAAATAAAAGAGTTTTCTTATTAATCTATGCTTTTATGGTTACTATTTGGATTGAATTTTGATATTTATTTTTATAACAATAGAGACGATAAGTTTTTTCACC